CTTTGATAGAAACACAGAGTCCAGGATTTTGGTGCTTTGGTACACTAAGACAGAAATGTCGCCCTCTTGGTCACGTTCAGTCCGTTTGTTTTTCCTGTGCATGTGTGTGTAAAGCGCCTTGAGGCGACTTTTGTTGTGATTTGGCGCTATATAAATAAAATTGAATTGAATTGTTTGTGTATGCATGTAACTTCACACACACACACAATCTGTGGGAAACTGTTTGGCGGTCTGCACAAGCATCAAGCGTCAAAGCCTCTGCAAAAAGCTTGATTAGCATATCTGCAAGCTGATCATGCATGACTTTGATAATTATCTTTTTTTTAATAGAAGCAGTAACTGTTTTTAGACCATTCTGTGAGACGGGAACAAACTGTAAACAGCAAACAGTTGCTCATTTACACTGGAAGGTCAATGTGTATCCTCTCATAGCTCAGCTTTTGCGCTACAGGAAATAATACATCTGCTGTGCTTCACTATGCTGTGAAATTTCAGTTGTTTAGAGACACATTTACACAAAAATCAAGGCACCACAAGTCATTTGAGGAAGTGCCTCTATAAGCTTTCTAAACCCCAGGAGCTCTAGACAAGTCATTTAGCCACTGATCACCATTTCAGAAGCTATTAAGTTATTAGACGAGCATTAAAACACGAGACGAAGCCTCGCATTTCTGCTCTGTGAGGAAACTTTATTGCTTTCAGTTCATGCAGCTGTTGAACCCTCAGACAGCTGCATGGTCTGAATAAAAATGCGAGAATCCTGAGAGATTTTGAAAATAATTACAATGAGAATAGACCGGTTTGGAGTCTTTTTCTCAGTTAAGATGGATCTGGTCTTGTATTAATGTTTCTCATTAATTTTCAGACACTTCAACTACACTTAAATGTGAATGAATAAGCATGATAATGAGATAATGAAATGTCAGGGAAGGGTGCGTTTATTTTAAATATGCGACACGAATGGCGTCACTGAAGATCAGAGTTCCCATGTTTAGTATTTAGTTTGCGCTCTTTGGGCTTCTGTGAGGATCAGGCTCGGACTTTGAACCAGTAAATAATCATGTCTGGTTGGAGTTTTTTCATCTCATAACTTCCTAATATTTCTTGTTCTTGTTGAACTGTTCCTTTGCTAAAGTCATCCCAGCTGTCTTATTCTTTGAAGTTCTGGATTTTTTGCTCCTTCACACCAGTACTTTTTAAAATAGTTGTCAAGGATTTTTGTTGTTCATCTTTAAAGTAACCTTCTCACATGTTCTATTCACAGTTTTGTGGTCCAGTCTTTGTCAACCAATTTGAACAACAATTTTGATTTTTGTACTTCCGATCAATTATTCTGTTGTACTGCAGACGCACAGTCAGTCCCTTTTAAATTACTGATAGCACCCAATAATGATTACTTTTTATAATCAAGGCTTTGTTGTTGTTGTTGTCATTCAGATATATTATTACATTTCCACACTGATGAAGTGATTTATTTATTTCAGAAGAAAATATTTAACTAAATAAAAAATAATTTAACTGGGTTTCCCCAGTTGTGATGAAATTTCGTGGCACAGTCTGGGCTGACAAATCATCACCGCTTTCCTCAGAAGTGTTAGTGTGGCAACATAAGGATTAAAACACTGATGATGAATCATTTATATTAAGACGTGCCTAAAAAACCCACAACAATGGCCACTATGCCAAGAAACAATATTTCATAATGAAAAAGAAAAAAAGAAAAAAAAACAGGTTTTGAGTTGTTTTATAAGTTTATTAAAAATGAAACACCGAAATGTCCAAATTACATAAATGTTCAAAGACTGCAAGTCTCGTTTTAAAAAATGAAATTCCAGTGTCAAGCTGAATTCCAGTTCGTCTGACGCCTGTGAACAGTCTTCTTTCTCTCTGAGTCGAAGTATTTGGACACACACTGGTCGAAATACGTTCTCACAGTCTCACGCATAAGTTACAAAATCAGCAAATGCAGTACAGAGCCCGCAAACGCATCACATGCAGGCAAGTTATTGTTTGAAAAAGAGGACAGCGGCAAAGATACATTCACTGATTGTGCGTGAGTGTGTGTTCAAGAACGGGCAGGACTGGTCGCAGCTTTTCTCAAGAGCTGCTCATCCAAATAACATGAGTCAAGAAACAAGAGACAAAATAGCAAAAAAAAAAAAAAAAATCTATACAGTTTAATGTGGTTTTTACCTCTTCAGCTTTCTTTACGATGAGTTAAGACCACATAGATGATGACATTTGGTAAAAGTTTCTTACTGTAAAACTTCCCCAACACACACAGAGTGGTGCAGGCTGCAGCGACTGCAGGGGAAACACTGGCAACACAGAATTAGCCCAAATATGTGAACTGCTCATCTCGGTGAACTCAAATGCAACACTACGCGGTACCCTGGCCCACGTGGGTTAGACTAATGGTTGTTGGGATACATGATGAAGTCAGCAATTTCTCAAACATTAGTGCAATGACTCCTAATTAATTTGTTTATATAGAGATAGGCATGGAGGCCCTGGCAGGTTTATTATTGGAGATGGTGGAGGCTTTCTTTGATGTGGAGCCCCAGCAGGTGTACACCAGCCTGTTGTGGTTGTTGCTGCTCTGCAGTACTTTGCGTTTGCTTTGAGTTCCATCCTGAGACGAGCCCAATTTATTCTTTTGGCTGGATCCTTGTTCCTGGAGCTGAATATGGATGGGGTTTGGGGCCTGATGGGCTGTGGTAACGTGGACCCCGACTCGGTTTCCTCCCAGCTTGTGGTAGGTTGAGAGAAGCAGCCGGTGGAGCTCCCGCTGGAAAGTCTTGTTGAAGTAGAAGTAGATGAATGGGTTGTAGATGTGGGAGCTTTTGGCGAAGAGGGCGGGCAACACGAAACCCTCTAGAGCCATGTACTGGTGCTCCTTGTGGAAAATAAAAAGGAAGGACACGACAGCGTAGGGGGCCCAGGCAATTACAAAACCCAAACTGATGCAGAAAAACATCTGGAAGGGGAAGCGACAGAGTAGAGAGGGTAAGTTAGTACACTGGAAACTAATCAGAGACCTGATGAATCATCTCTGACACACAGATAACTTGTTTCCTATGAAACGATCCATTTTCAAACAAAGCAAAGATCATGTGGTGCAGCAGACTGAATATTTCATGTCTACACTTTCCTAGTAACGGATCTCGTACGGTCATGTGAATATTGACGTGTTCAGGAAAAAATTATGGCACTAATTCTATTTTTAAAGCGACACGAGTTTCTTTTAAATATAACGGTATTTTTGTTATTTTTACCTTCACTTTGTGTTTTCCATCTTGTGAGGTTGGAATGAACCCATTTCCGTTCCCTTAAATATTAATAGAAAAAACATAACAGAGGCAACTCCTCCCTACAACCTTTTGGTCATTTGGGGCCTCACACTGTGTTCTGGGCCTCATGGGCTCTCTCCTGGTACTCTGGATTTCTTGAATTTTTTTTCAAGGTCAGCTTTGACCTTAGGTGCTAATAGTGAAGGTCAAGGTCAAATGCTTAACCAACCTAGGTACTTGTATCCCCCAAGGTCTAGATTGTTGTAAAATACGAAGACAATCGATAAAAAACTGAGTAATATAAAGTTGGTTTGTTGTGACCTCGAGGGGATTTTCAGCAAATTTAAATCAGCTTGAGCTGTTATTGGTATCTACCATCGCAAAGAAATGTGAAATCCTGTGGACAGTAGAGTGCTAACAAACAGACAAATAGACAAACGGAACTGATCACATCCTCCCTTCCATTCAGAGGAAGAATACATCGATTGATGTGGCTGAAATGTATCTGTGATAAACTGCAGGAGAGTCAAACATTCAAAATCAAAGGTTCTACAGACAAATGACAAGTCAAGTATAAAGTGTGACTCAACTTGGAGAGACAAGAGGCTCAAATGTTTAGTTCTGAGATAACGCTGGAGGCTCTTCTTCCAGCTTCAAAGTCTCTAACAGATACATGTCATTATCAGCTTTGTTCAAAACCCTGTTACATACCAAGATATGCTGTTGCCTTGAAAACTCCAAGAAGAACTAAGTTTAGATCCGAACTCCAACCACAATAAAAATGCACAGAGGGGTAAATGAAAGCAATGAGTAATGACCGATGAGTAAAAGATGTGAATGCCTGTACGACCTTCACAATGCTTTAGTACTGTGATGCCTCTATAACTGATAAAGTCTGATCTAATGAGAATTTTACAGAGAAAGGTTCGAAATTATAAAAGCTCCAAAACTTAAAGAAAGATGCTTCATTGCTTTCTTTATTACCTCCTTTAAGATACACTGGACCATCCCATATGAAAGGAAAGAAGATATAACTGGCAACTAGCATGTAAATACTAATTATTAGCCTGGTTTTCATTTAATGCCATACCCGGCTGTTGTAATATTCATGGTTCACACCCAGCCTGGTTTTGCTGCAGGCTTCTTCCTGTCAGGAGGGACTTCTTCCTTCCCACTGTCACCAGCTGCTATTATATTGCAGGGTTTTTACTTTGCAAGATAAAGCATCTTGAGATAACTCTATGAAGACAGTTTATTTAACTTGAATTGAATTCTTATAAAGTTTTTGTCTTGTGTGCAGAACATAGTTTTACATGTAAATGAAAAAAAATCTCTCTGGATCATCTGCCTCCATCTCCATCCTGCCTCTAGCATCCTCCTCGTTACACCTCTGCACGTCCTGCATCACTACATTCTTGAATCTTCTCTGTGGTGTTTCTCTTTTCCTCCTGCGTGCCACCTCCTTATTCAATATCCTTTGCTGCATGGTCACTTAATCATTTCCCCAGTGGGAATAGACAACATGAGCTGAGCTCAATATGAAAAGCATCTGGTTTCACTTTATAGGCTCGTATATATTAATTTTTCTATTAATATATATAGCTGTGGTATTTGAGTGATGTTTTTCACGGGATATTCGGGTTGTTCTCTTTCATATGACCTGACTAGTTTGGTGTAGTTACCTGATGATGAGGTCAAGGATCAGTTATCAGGAGGAGACACGGGTGGTCATTTTTGGCACTATTCGACCACTGATGGAGAATTTCCTGTTGGTGTGCACTGAGCAGCAAATTCGAGTGCTGCCTGGACTGGATTCTCTCAACATTCTCAGTTCATGTGTGTTTTTCTTAAGTTCATGTTTAAGTCAACACAAACTCTCAGCTTTGTCATGTTGGTGTGACTGAGGTCTCCACCCTAAGCTCCTGTTGCTGGGGACCCTGTCAGCCTAAAGCACCTACAGCAAGTGTGAAAAATTAAATTGTCATGCTAAATCAAGTCTGCAGAGATAATGTAAAGACTGAAGCTCACCATGGAGAGCCGCTTCTCAGCGCGGTGCAGGTTGTTGCGGATGCCCCTAGCAGACAGCGAGTAGGAGAAGCGGGACACCTTGTAGAGGATCCTGCACTGCGACACCACAATGAGGAGGATGGGAACCAGCGTGAAGCAGGCAAAGGAGCAGATGACATAGAAGGCATCCTTGGTGGAGGTGTGATAACCCCGCCAGGCGATTGTGCAAGACAGTCCGTAAGGCTCGGGGATGTACTCGCCCCAGCCGAACAGAGGGAAGCTGGACCACACTGTAGCAACCAGCCAGATAGCACAGCACAAGAGGCGGATGTTGGTTCCTTTCAGCCGCACAGCTACAGCAAGAAGGCAAAAACAAAGGATAGAGACTGCAAGGGATTGGGGGCATTTGTGACATGAGTTACATGAAACTACTACTACTACTCTTAGCATCAAATTGTTATTAACTAACAACAACAGTCCTCACCGTAAGACAAGGTGTAGCAGGTCTTTAGGTAGCGGAGGATGCTGATGGCAGCGACGGTGAACATGCTGCACAAGCCGAAGGTGTAGCAGCCGAAGCCGTAGTAAACGCACGTGACGTTTTCTCCCAGCCAGGCGTGGTGGAAGGAGGACAGGATGGCGAGCGGGTAGAAGCAGATGCAGCAGAGGAAGTCGACAACAGCCAGGTTGACGCACAGCAGCTCCGAGCCCACCATCTTCTTCCTCCTGAGGTAACAGATCACCAGCACCAGCCCATTCCCCATTACAGAGAGCAGAGCTGCACCGGGAAGAAGGTCAGAAGGAAACTGCTGCATTAGTTTAGTATTTGGCCTCTTTGGAAGCAACACTATTTTTATAATTGCTATGACCAAAATGTTAGCAAACATTTAGAAAGTTTTTGAGACAAAGCAAAAAAACGTTTACATATTTTATACCTTCAAAAGGGCATCGTTATTACTTTAAAGTGAGTGTATCCCATGGAAAATGTTCCCATCAGATATGCCAATGTCAGTTTTACTTAAACAGCACATTTAATTGCAGATAATATCACTGTTGTTTAATATAAAGATAAAAACATAGTCTCACAATGATGCCTCAAGACAATTTAAAAAAGCAATATAAAAGTATATATAAAAATAAAATACAACACACTTAAACCCTTAATGCCGAGGGTGTCATATTTGATAACTGAGGTTTTCTGACTACATCAGTGTGATTTGTTTTCCCCTGAAAAAACAAAATAAATTCCACAAAACTCACATAAGCAAATACATTTTGATTTTTTCAGCCAAGATTCCCGTTTTGATCACTGTGTTTCAAGGACACGGGTAACAAATAGGAACAATTTTATTTGTTCTTGACTTTTTGGAGCAGCAGCAAATATTTGCCTCTTATTTTGAGATATCCAGCTGTTAATATGAGTGTTGCTCATTAGTTTGAGAATCACCTGATGTCGGCAGATGTTGTATACTTGTGTGGAAAATCTAAGAAAAACATCTTTAGTAGAATAACCTTCTTATGGGCACTTTGCACTATTTGCCCAGCAGTCTGACATGCTAGGAGTTCATTTTTAGTTTGTACATATCAAAGTGAGAACCACCATGCAGAATAACTGGATTATTGACGTCTTAGAGGCAAACCGAGCACACATTTATATGAGTGACAATACAATACAGGTTAAATCCTTACTTATAGTTACTGCTATTGCAATGCACACCTTCAGCGCTCCCAGTCAAGTGTAATTAGTTTAATGAGCGACTGAGCCCTGCAGACAAATAAAAGTCAAATATAAGATCTGAGAAGTTCACTGAAAACGAACCAATGGAAAGAAAAGGAAAATGAAATGATTAAAGTTTAAATACTTTATATTCAGTGGAAATTAAATCAGTTTTTATAACTTAAAGGTGTGAATGAACCTTATTAAAAAAATAGTCAACAGCATTTTTGTTTTCCAGGTAAAGCAGAAATAGAGAGAACAGATAAATGAGCATACCGATGGAGAAGATGGCCAGTCCCACGCATATGTCAGCAGCTGGGGTCAGTTTGGAGGTGAAGGCGGAGGTGGTCCAGTTTCCATCAGAGGAGTTCAGAAGCATCGGTCGCTGCTGCTGGTGTTGCTGCTGCTGCAGTGGCTGAAATCCAGTCCTGTCTGTCAAAGGGAGACGAGGCTGACTTTCTTTTATGCACGGGGTCCTGTCGCCATGGTAACTCAAGTGTGTGATGTCCGTCAAATACACGGAGGATGGGGATCCAGGAGCTCTATAGACAAGGACGTTATAAGGACTTTGGCTTAACTGGCAAATGCCACCACAATATCTCCAACAGCCTGGGCTTTAACAGCCTAACCAGCTATTTTTTCATTTATTCTGGGGTATTATAGTTTAGTTTATTTTTAATCCTGCAATATTACGATTCCTCAACATTTTGTTGACTTCAACTTCCAGGGAAAAACCACATTATAGAGCCAGAAACTGCAGTTCCTCCAGCGGCCAGTTGAAGCTGGGTTTATAAGCGAGTGAGACTTCCACATTAAAAACAAAAACTTAAGAGATTAGATGACCTTTTCACAGCGTGGTACAAAGACTGGTTTTCCTTCTTTGTGGCTTATTTCTGCCCTCACAATAACTATAGAGAAGGTGGTGTTTTATAACTGAAGGTGGCATGGCTGCTTTGATTTCCATGTGTGCTGACACATACCTGTAGATGGATCATCGCAAGCTGTGTTTATGCTGTGGTTCCTTTTGAAGCATTTTTAATGGGAGTTTTTTTTGACTAATATAGACCATCTGGACATTTAGGATTCTTTTTTGGTGAGTGAATATTAAGTGTTTTAGTAGTCTGGTGCATTAGTCACCCTCTCATCCAAATATGGCACTTTTGGCCTCAAAAGACCAACATGTCACCATGCAGAGGTCAGAAACTGATAGGTGACGTCTACACATGGCTCACAGTGTGTGAGGCCAATGCACAAGATTTCATTTGCTAAACTTTTCGGAAGATTAAGTGGATTACATGCAAGTGTACACTCCTGAAAGCTGTGTTGCAAAACCTGTTAAAACTACAACCTGCTGTTTCAGCTGCTCAACAGAGATTCACTTGTAGTTCATCTTTTTGAGCCACACATTTCTTGGGAGACGTGTCCGTCACCTCATTTTGCACATTTTAATATGTAGACATGGTGAAGATGGCATGCTGAAGTTCAAACTGAGCATCAGAATTGGGAACAAAAGTGATATAAGTGACTTGTATGGTTGTTGTCAGACAGCCTGCCTCAGACAACCATCTTTAGGCTTCACAGAGGATGGCCTAAAAAAATGAAAACATCCAGTGAGCAGCATTTCTCTGGGTGAAGATACCTTGTTGACATCAGAGGAAAATGGCCAGACTGCTTTGAAGTGAGGAAAACTGAGTAACCCAAATAACCACTCATTACATCCAAGATGTGCAGAAGAGCATCTCTGAATGCACGATACGTCAAGTCTTGATGCAGATGGTGATAGCAGCAGGAGTGACACCCGGTGTGGGTTTCCTGTTTCAAGAAAAGGAAATTGAACTACAGTTCACATGGGCAACACATAATTGGATAAATGCAAGCATGAAAGCATGGATCCATCAAGCCTTGTATCAACTGTTGATGGCGTAATAGTGGGGGGTTCATTTGTATGTCGGAGGCTACCTGGTTATTGTTGTTGACCCTGTCCATCCTTTTATGACCTCGGTGCAATCATGTTCGGATGCCTGCTTCACAAAGGTTAGAACAAACTTCTGGTGAGCTGATTTCATGAGCCCTTCAAACCAAAAACCAAGTATTTAAAACTTAATGATTCAGATAATTGATCTACATTTGAAAATCCTTAATTTTATGCTAAGTTCCCATGTATTTTTACTCCTGTGCAGCAATGTTGGTATAATAGCACCACATCAGGGCTGGTTCTGGTCCCTGAGCTGCACAATAGGAAGCATAATAATCATCGCTGTTGCTTATGGCAGGTCGAGACACCATCTGCTGACCTCTATGAAGAACTGCAAGAAAGCAAAAAAGTCAAAGGAAGAAAAAAAAAGACAACTGGAGGCTTTGAGTAGAAAGATAAAGTAGACTTTATTTAATGGTGAAACCTAAATAAGATCTGTGATTACAAAACAGGCTCCCCATGTAGTTTCTTTCAATGTCACAGAGGCTGGAATGCTGTACTGACAGAAAAGGCATCAGAAAGACTTGACCTAAAATATAAAGCTTGAAAACTACGAGCTTCAGAGAGAGTCGAGAGAAAGAAACCCTCTCACGAGTCGTTCCTACAATCCAATGGCAGTTACACTAGTTTAATGAAGACGTTCAGCAGTTGTCAACATCAGAAACTGGAGAATAAAAGCAATCGTGACTTCATGAAGTCTGTAGAAAAGAGACAGTGAAGAGGCATAGATGGTAAAAGAAAGGGTTTCCTTTGTTGCACTACGTCATAAAGGGCCTCATTTGGTTAGGACATAAAAATACATGGTAGCACGAAAGCCTTCTGTGCATCAAATGTCTAAGACGCGTGGAAGTCTTTGCACTGACTGCACTTTTCTCAGACCACTGAAATGTTACGCTGTACATTAAATCAGAAACCAAGTGGCATTATCCCTTTAAGTAGCCTCCAAGCTAACATACACATATACACCCACGCGACAAATATACACTCAAGCGCATCCTGCATCCCCATCATGAGCCAGCTGCAAAAAAAAAAAAAAAGAAACATCCAAAAATATTCGGGTTATCAATACACTGGAAAAATATAGCACTGTAGGTCTCTCTCTTTTCATTTTTAAAGGAATAGTTTAGCAGCTTGGGAAATATCTGAGTAAGAGGTGAAGATCGGTTTGAATAAGCAGCTTGAAGCTAATAAAGTTCACCCACCAGCTTCTCCAACTCTAACACTGCAGGCGTCTGCATGGATTAAACAAACCACATCTCTTTTTAATTTTTAAGCTTTGGAGGTGCTGTTTGGGTGGATTTTATTTCTCAGGGTAGAGCCAGGCCAGCTGCTTCACATTCACCACATATATTCAACCTCTTCCCCTCGCCTTAAAAATAGAAACAATGCTGAACTCCTCCTTTAAAACTCCAGTTATTAAGAAAAATATTTCCTTTGTTGAAAAGCTCTTTCTCAATACTTTAGTGTAAATAATTTTATAAACACAGCTCTGCGTTTTTCAAATCGGCATCACCCAGATGAATACATTTTTACCAACACCTGAAACACAAAAATAAGTGTTTAGTCTTATTGTTCATTAAATTCATCGTCTCAGGTAGAGTCATTTACAGAGCGCTCACTCTATATCTGGGATTAATATCTCTATCCATTTTGGCCATCTTTAAAAAAGGAAGTGGCTGTGTTCTTTAGCTTTCCTGTATCTTAATGCACACCAAATGTTTACTTTTTGGGTCTGGTCCCAAACACCCCCCCACCCCACCCCAAAAAACAATAATTTTTGCCGTTCTCTTAAGTGTTGGCAGCGATGAGGAAAAAGCACATTAAAAATAGACATCTTTAAATAGCTGTTCAGCTCTTCTAAGTGCAGCACAAATCGGAAACATTGAATTCAAGTCATCGTTATCTCCTCCCCCGTCTCCGCGTATCATACAACGAATATACCGAAAAGAAACATTTTCAGTTAAGAAACTAAATGTGAAAGGATAAATCTTTGATCAGACAAAGTATACTGCAGCCACACTGTAACATCCAAAAATAGTCTTAAGTTGAAATATAGATTTTCTTTCTTGCCAAAGAAATGCTGGCGTTCACTCTAAGTAGATTTCATATACTGCTGAGGTGTGATTTGTGTTTTTACGTCTCTGTTGATCCTACCCCGGCAGTCCTGAACGCAGCATCAAACCGTTACAGAGTAAAACACTGACGTCCGGTGTCATTTGGCACATGGGGTGCTCTCGCTGACAGCTGCGGTGGCGTCGGTGTCTTTGTCGTCTGCGGTGACGGCAGCGGCGCTCCTTTCCTGGTCCTCGTGGTTACTGTTACTATTATTGTTGTTGTTGTTGTTTTGGACACTCGGCAGCCCGTGGCTGTTGTTCTGGACCAGCGGCATGTCGCCGAGCTTCAGCTCCTCCAGCTTCTTCCACAGCTCTTCTCTCTCCTGCTCCTTCTTCTTTTCCCTGTGAAATCACAGTATTTAAAAACAAAAATGAAGCAAAACACCAGACACCAGTGTTGATATAACATTTTCATCACAGTTTTAATCAAAACAACCTATTTTTCCCTAATGAAATAAAAACTAATGCATGAGGACAAAAAAATATGATGAAATTCATAAAAACAAGATGTTCTGGAGAGATGACATCCAATCTGAACTAATTAAGCTGTGTAGTAAGATCAGACGCGCACATTTGATCTGACCCTGGGGAATCAGGAGAGGGCTTTGGCTAACAACGTGACAAAACGTGAACACCTGGGAGGAAGTGAAGAGACATAAGGACACATTTCATATCTGATGTCAAGGAAAATAACAGACTAAACTGTGTGTAGCAACGTTCACTGGTAAAAACGAGGTTTTACATTTTATATTTTAGTCAGTTATTATATGTAGTTGGCAAAAACTAAAAGAGCATAAACGCCCAAATTATAATTATGATTAAAACTAAATGCCTTGATCCTCTAAATTCTTGTTCATTATTACAAGCAGAAACATTGTCAGCCATGCTGGATGTAATACTCGTTTTCTTCCTTTTCCTCCACTCTGCTTCTGGTTGCTAAACATTAAATGAATTTGCATGAGAAGGCGTGAGTTTTACTTTGACCTGCTGACACTCATCTTCTGCTCCCATTCATTAAAACGCCTTCTGCTGTGTCGGCTGTACATGAAGTGATCTGTTCGCGCATGAATGTTTGGCAGTGACTAAGCGACAGGTGAATGTTGTGCAATTAATGAATAATCCTGTTGTGGGAAGAACACAGAACTTGGCTTTAAATGTAATGATAAATGCATAAAACAAACCAAAATGACCATTTCTTCACTATTAAACATTAAAAAAAAAAAAGAGATGAGATCAGCAAAAACATTCTAAATGATTTCTGAAGTTATGTGTAAGAGGCTGCACAGCATTACTTTAACACTTCAGAGACATTTTTTCTTTAGATAACAGAAACACGACAGGAAAACGAGTGTTTGAGTCACTCACCGTTGCCGGTCTGCTTTATAGGAGGACGTCAACTCATCGAACAGTGTGCAGTTCATCTCCATCAACGTCTTCAGCACATTGTAGACTAGAGCTACGATTGTCCTGCAACACAACAGAGACTGCCATCAGCAACACAGCTGTGAAATGTGCATGAGTGGATGTCATATTTCGCTGTAACTGTGCAGAAAATCTATTTGCTGGTGAATCATTCCCAAACCAGCCAACACTCTAGTTTTCACACACATTTCTCCATCTTCTAGTGCCTTTACATTTTTGTTAGAAACTTCTGTAGTTTTTGTGATGCTCAAACCTTGTTTTAACAAATAACTGGATTACACACATCCCAAAGTTTTGTGTGTGCGTGTCAACAAGTCTCTAAGTGCCAAATGGCAACTGACAACCTGAGTGAACGCAGCTAATCATAAACAGGAAGGAAAATCAACTGAATGAATTAGCCATATTAGCTTTAGCTTCACCGCTTTTACAGTGAAAACAGTACAAAGTGATGCAGAAACACGTGTGAGCTACATCCTTCTCGTAAATGTATGTGACAGGTGACTGTTGGCTTCAGGAAAGCTGGAACAATATTCATTGTTTTAAGCTTTCCAAGTTAACCACTCATGATCAAAATCCCTGTAAGCAGGTTATAAGAGCATGCTCGGTTCTCAGAGAGGTTTGTAATACTTTGACCTCCAAGATCTATGCTAAATGATGTGTGAGACGTGCCAGACATGATGGCGTCTTTTTGTCTCGCCTGCCATGTGTACATGTCAACACATTCTTAAGAAAAGCTCACGACAGTAGCCTTAACACAGACACAGCAACAGGTTTCAGTGCACATTTTTCATAGATGTGGTTGAAAGCGGTCCTTTGACTTTTATTCATTACATAACAATTGTTTCTAGCGTGCGGCGGTCACGGTACATACGGATTCCAGTGTTCTTTGGAGATTCTGTACAGGCTGCCAAACATGATGGGAAGGATCTTGTCGATGTTCTCTTCGATGAGGCTGAGGATGTACTCGTTATTCCAGAAGTAGAGCGCCCGCTCTGCTACCTGCAAACACAGAGAGAGAAGAAAAACTCCAGTTTAAAAAAAGAAAACAATGAAAGCTGACTGGAATTTGGAAGTGTTATGATAATGATGCTCAGAAAGTAGGCGACCAAAGCCCTTTCAGACATGAAAGGGCTTTGCTTTTTATGCGCGTCTTGCATAAATCCAGCTTTACATGGGTAATTTCTATGTAGCAGTCATGATAACACGAGAAAAGCTGTTGGTTTATAAGACACTAAACATAATTCAGTTTTCTTATTTCATTAAGGGTTTTACACCACTTTTACATGTGCACTGCAGCCTATAGGTTGAATCAAAGAACGCAAATGCAAATGCTCAACACAATTTTATCAGACATTCGATTCATTCATTCAGCAGTAAGGTCTACGCACGGTCTTTGTGAGACAATTAAAGTGAACAGTCTGGTGATTTTCATAGCTTTCAAGTGGTCATTGAGTGTCCTGGTTCCTGCCGTGACTAAACTAAACAGAGCCACGGTTCTCAAAGGAAGCGTTTGTGTGGCTTGTGATAAGTAAAGCATTAACTAATGTACTCGCGGTTCATGTTACACTACAGAAACACAGAACAGACCATCTGAGCATTTCCCTTCAATATTTAACTCCTGTTCTTGCCAACATATTGATTTAAGCCTTCCATTACTGAACAACCACAGCTGGGGTCACAGAATTAACCCGCAGAATTAAAATCACCCTGAAACATCCCTTAGTTACGCTGCT